GGAAAGAGTTCTCACTCCCCTTTAGAATGTAATTCTGAAGCTGTCTGTCACTATATCTCCCTCTTCACAAAGATCCCCCTATCACCACCATTACTATCACTTAGAGGAAAACCCATCTACACTAGAAAAGGATCTACAGAGAAAATCAGAGCTAGAAAAGGATGAGAGGGTCCTGACAACATAATTAGAACATTTATATCACTTATTTAAAGCCAACTCCACCCCCCTTCTCCCCAATTACATGAGCCAATAAATCTCCTTCATTGCTTAAGCTACTCTCAGTGGTGTTTCTGTCCTAACAGCTGTTTTGTTTTAATAATGTAGTTTGGAAGTACTATGAATTACTGTGCTACAAGTGTATGCTATGGATCACATATCACCATCTTGCATTGTGGAAAATGTGTTTATTTTTGTTTTATCCTTCATTTTACCCAGTTCATGAGTGATCATCAGTTATTCTAATGTTTACTTATTAACGAGGTTTATTACCTCCTAAAAGACTCCTTAAACTTTCCTTTTATTTTGCTAAAACTTTTATTTTCCTCAAACTTTTAAAAAAAATTTTAGTTAAACTAAAATAATCACTTAGAAACTTTTAATTGAATAATGGATTACGGTAAAAATACTTGCGGTCTATTTAAAATAGGTAATGTACCAGGGTACTTCAAAAAGTGTGTGGAAAAATTGAATTAAAAGATAATACAAATCCTTTTGTGAACTTTTTGAAGACTTCTCGCACATATATACCACTAAACAAAAATCAGTTGTTCTATATTTTATTCATGAATGAAAAAAAACAAGCAAAAAATTTAAAAATATATAAATAAAATTGGGCATAATTTCCCCTGGCTTTAAGGTGTTTAAAGAATGCCAGTGGAGATATTTATGGGTCACTCTTTAGCTGCTTAGTAGGTTATACTTATCTAATACTAACATAGCTGAGAACTAGTGCCTTTAAAATTTTAGTATAATGACTTAGGTTTAAATTTTGAACTCTCTCTATAAACTATAAAGCAACAAGTCCTTAGGAAAAAAGAGTTTGCTACTTTATTCACTAATGGCCACTATTTGCACAAGTTTTTTTTTTTTTTTAAAGCATCTGAACCTTTTTTTTAGTGGCACCAATCACTTTCTACCTGGTATTGGGGTTATTTGGATGAAGAACGTATGTTTTCCCAGGTACGGGAACTTCTGGAGGGGCAGCACATGGCCCCCTTGTTGCATTAAATGTTTGGCTAGTGGACAAACTCAGTAGGAACAAAAGCTTCTAAATAATCACATGAAAAAAATAGTCTTTCCAGAAATTAAGGTACAACTATTAAATTCAACTAAAAAAAAAATTAAGAATCCAAACCCAGTGTTGGCAGCCTTGTGGAGAAACATGCTTTTATGGATTGAATTGTGTTCCCCCAAAATTCATATGTTGACGTAGGAATGTGACCTTATTTGGAAATTGGCCTGTTACAGATGCAATTAATTAAAATGAGGTCATTAGAGTAGGCCCTAGTCCAATATGACTAGTGTCCTTATAAAAAAAGGGGGAAGTTTGGGCACAGGGAGATCGTCATGTGAAGATGAAGGCAGACATCAAGGTGATGCATTTACAAGCTGTGGAACTTCAATGATTGCCAACAACCCACCAGAAGGTGGATGAGACGTCCTCACGGCCCTCAAAAGGAACCTACCCAGCCATCATCTTGATCTTGGACTTCTGACCTCCAGAACTGTGCGACAATAAACTTGTGTTGTTTAAGCCACCCGGTCTGTGGTATCTAGTGAAGGCAGCCCTAGCAAACTACTGCATGTTTGCTGGTGGGACTGAGGACCCAGCTGGACTTTCTGGAACAACCCTGTGATATGTAGCAAGACCAACCAAACTGTTCACTCCCTTAGACCCAATATTCACCTATGGAAATAGCCCTAAAGTAAAAACAAAACAAACCAAAAAACCCTCCTCTGTGGAATACTACTCAGCAATTAAAAAGGTAGAAATTATTGATAACATACAACTTGGATAACTCTCCAGGAAGTCATGCTGAGTGAAAAAAGCCAACCCCATAAAGGATACATACATATGGATTCTATTACATAAAATTTTTGAAATGAAAAAATTATAGAAATGGAAATTAGATTAGTGGTTACCAGGGGTTAGGGGTGGGGGGGAGGGTGAGAGACAGAGGTGGGTGTAGTTATAAAAGGGCAACAGGAGACAGCCTTGTGGTCACAGAGCTGTCCTTTGTTTTGACTGTCGTGGTGGACACGTGAATCTACATATGGTAAAATTGCATAGAACTAAATACACATGCAGACATGCACACACATACACAAGTGAGCGTAGGTAAGACTGGAGGGATCCCAATAAGATTGTTAGGTTGTGTCAATATCAATGTTCTGGTTGTGATATTGTACTATAGTGCTGCAAGATGTTAGCATTGGAGGAAACTGGAAAAGAGTACAGGGAATCTCTCTGTATTATTTCTTACAAGAGAATTTACAATGATCTCAAAATAAAACAATTAAAAAAACTACTTTGTACGAGGATGTTCACAGCAGTCTTGCTGAGAATAGGGGAAAATTGGAAATAACCTAAACTTCCCACAACAGGAATCAGCTGAGGCCCTGGGGGTTTAACTCCAGGAAATATTGTCTAACTCTGAACAATGACAAGTTTGTGGACTGAGTAACAATAAAGAGCAGTCAATGACTTAACATTAAAGGAAAAAGCAGATGACATCTCTGAGGGGTGTCTCTCTGAGCCATTCTGTGGAAAGCGTGGCTATCCGTTGGAAGACAATAATTCAGAGGGGTGGAGATCATTTAGAGGTTCAAGTCCACCGGATTCTTTTTATTTTAATATTATTTCAGTTCCAAATAAAATAATGAGAAGACATTAAAAAAAAAAAAATCCCGATCCGGGCCATCGTCTAGTCACCGGCTTCTCCTTTGTCTCCAGCAGGTGGCAGAAGTGTCCCAAGCATGGTCCCCACCATCTCTTTTTCATGTGGATAGTCCAGCAGCTCCCAACAGCAGGTGGGGCTCCCAGCATCAGTCTTGCAGCTCGAGGAACCCAGGCATCAGAGCTGCCGTCTCTGAAGTCCAGGGCGAGAAGGCAGTTGTCTGGCCGGCTTCTCCTTTGTCTCCAGCAGGTGGCAGAAGTGTCCCAAGCATGGTCCCCACCATCTCTCTTTCATGTGGATAGTCCAGCAGCTCCCAACAGCAGGTGGGGCTCCCAGCATCAGTCTTGCAGCTCGAGGAACCCAGGCATCAGAACTGCCGTCTCTGAAGTCCAGGGCGAGAAGGCAGTTGTCTGGCCACGATGGGGTTAACAATCCGCATTCCAGAGCAAGAGAAAAAGAGGCTGGAGGGTCACAGACAAGGGGAGGGAGCAGGCAGGGCCAGCTTCTCACAACACCAGCGGCTCTGTTGGGAGAGATAGACCACCCCCAACAATGGCCACAGCTGTTTTTGTCTGCCCTGAAGGAAGCTGACTTAGGAAGCAGGTATCAGAGAGGGCCCTTCCTGCAGGGGCTTCTGTCTGGCTTGTAAAACTGTCAGAACAGCCGCATTCATGTGTCGGGTGATGGATGATGGAAAGGACAGTCGGCCGCAGATGGACACAGCGACTCACAAGTTGAGGCAGGTGGCAGAGGTCTTGCAGGGGCTCTGCAGGTGGGCGCGTACTGATTCATTGCCCAGTTAAAATACCAAGGGGATCTGGGCACGGCCCTCTTCCCAGCCTCCCTTCAGGGCCAGGAGTGGGTGAGCCGTCCTCAGACGATCCGTCTCCACTGAAAGCTTCCGCTGACCCTCCTCTCTTTTCTTGCACCTCAGGTGTGAACCTTCCTCCTCCATGACCCTGCCCCTCCCCATGCCCCTTGTTCTACACCAGGGCAGAGATAGCAATTCCTTTTGGCTTCTTTGTGGCTACTTGGATCTGGGATGGCTGCATGGAACCTACCCCATGGTAGGTACCAATACGGTCTTCCACATAGGACTCAAAGCTGTTTTAGAAAACTGTAATGGGCTGGGAGACAAGGAAAAAAAAAATGCCAGCACTAAAAATGCTGTCTTTGGCTTTTGCTAAGAAAAGGGATTCTGTGTTGTCCACTCCCACCCACAGCCTGGCCAGGGAAATGACAGCCTTTGGCACTTCAGCCCGCGAGCAGCAAGTGAGTGCCTGACTGAGAAGTGTCTGTCGTAGCGCGCAGGGTCCCTGAGGAGCACGAACTGAGGTTTCCTCTTTGCGCTCCATCACCAGAGCCTGTGACCTCTCATCAGTGACTTGTAACCAGAACCTGCCCCCCTGCCCAAGCAGGCGCGCTTGCTGAAGCTTCCAGTTTTCCATGTTGCCTTCCAGAGAATGCCAACAGAGGCTTTCTTGGTCAGGATAAGCAATGCTGAGCCTCATGGGGTTGGGATCAATGGGATTTCTTAAAAAGCATCCTTCTGCCTCTGGCTGGGTCTGTGGGCACCAAACAGACACCCCTAAGGCCATTTGTTGCTGGGGTGACAAATGAATTTGGCCTGAGAGATAGGATCAGCTGGGCTCAGCCCTGTAGCGAACTCAGAGCTGCACGCTTTCTTCGTTAAGGTGGTCCCCAGCTTGTTTTGAGAATGACCAAGGAGCCCAGGGAGGCAGACATTTAAAAGCCAGAGCTCATTTTGATATCTGAAGACCACAGCCGCCCACACATGGGAGGTGCCAGAGAGCAGGCTGGGACCCTGTCTCGCAAGCCCCCACCCCCCACCCCCGGGTCACCTGGGAGTGCCAGCAGCAATGTGGAAGTTTGCTGAGCTTGAGAAGTCTTTGGGGAGGGCTTGCTCTGAGCACAACCCTTTCCCTCCCCCAGGGCTGAGGGAAGCATGGGCCCAGCCCTGCCCCAGCCTGTCCTCATTGGCTGGCATGAGGCAGAGGGGGCTTTAAAAAAGGCAAATGTGTCTGGGCTGGGGACCAGAGCCTGTGCTACTGGAAGGTTGGGTGCCCTCCTCCGGCTGGCACCATGCAGCTCTCTCTAGCCCTGTGTCTCGTCTGCCTGCTGGTGCACACAGCCTTCAGTGCAGTGGAGGGCCAGGGGTGGCAGGCCTTCAAGAATGATGCCACGGAAATCATCCCTGAGCTTGGAGAATACCCTGAGCCCCCACCGGAGCTGGAGAACAAGACCATGAACCGGGCGGAGAACGGAGGGAGGCCTCCCCACCACCCCTATGTGACCAAAGGTATGGGGTGGAGGAGAGAATTTTTAACACTAGGGTAGCCACGGAAATTTTAGAATCTTCTCTTTGGGAGGCTTTGAAGACTGGGGTTCACCATCAGCCTCTGCCGGCACCCGTGGAGGGCCAGGCTTGCCTGGAAGCAGAAGGATGACATGCCAGCATAGTCTTAAACTTTGAGTGCAGCATGAGGCTGGCAGGGGCTGGTAGTGAGAGCCCAGGGAAAGGAGAAGGCTGAGCTGGTAAGGGTACAGCACTGGCACAGGCCCAGGGACTCAGAAAAGAAAAGGTTTCAAAGAATCCCCTCCTGGGAATGCAGGAGCCAGGGCCAGCTGCTGGCAACCACGGGGGAGGGAAAAGGCAACGGAGTCTCACATGGATGGAGCAGCACCTGCTGCATGCCCGATGTTCTATGCGGGCTGTGGCTGCACCCACGGACCTGCCTGGTGGGAGCCCCATGAGGTGAACCCCCGATTGAAGGTGAAGAAACTGAGGCTCCAGAGATGAAGTAACTTGGTAGTGAAAAGAAAGCTGAGATTTGAGCCTAGTTTGATTCAGTTGCAAGACAGCCCTGGTGGGGGAGTGTGTGTGTGTGTGTGTGTGTGTGAGCTCGCGCGCGTGTGTGTGCGTGTGCGTGCACGTGCGTGTGTGTTGGGGGTGACTGATAGTTTGATTCAGTTGCAAGACAGCCCTGGTGGGGGAGTGTGTGTGTGTGTGTGTGTGTGTGCGCGCACGCGCGCGTGTGTGTGTGTGCGTGCACGTGCGTGTGTGTTGGGGGTGACTGGGGACTGAGATCTCTGGAAAGCAGTGGGAAAGGGAAGCCAGGAGGAACCCCTTCAGCTCTGCTTGCCTGTGGTCTGCACAGTAAGGTGGCCCTTGAAGGAATGGGAGCCACAGGCACAATTTTAGCCTCTGACAAGGTTGGCAGCTGAGCCCAGGCCCTAGAGGGAGGCAGCATCCTCTACGTAGGGAGTGGACACAGGTAACACCACTTGTCCTGAGTCTCTACCCCAGACACGGCACTGCCTCATTCTGAGGAGCAAGCCTGACCCCAGGAGAGGGAGAAAGCAATGGTCTCCATGAGGCCACATCTGGGTTCCTGGGTTCCCGGTCAGGCCTGCACAGAGCAGCCTGGGGGTGTTGCACACAGCTGGCTCTGTAGCTGGCAGGAATGGCTGGGTTGATGTGGGCTGGAATGACAATTCAGAGGGAGGGCCTCACTGCCCTCTGGCCATTACCCAGGTGGGAGAGGGGTCCACTGTCCAGGCTCCTGCATCCCATCCCTCCCTGCCTCACAACCAGCAGGGGATGTGGGGCTCTGGAAAGGGCAGCCCCAGAGGAGGCCAGCTGAGACCCTGGGTCTTTGAAACAGGAGGGCAAGAGCACCTCTTTCCCCAGCCTCCCCCCAATCCCAGACAAGTTCAACTGAACTCAAGTGACTGCTTAAATTGCTATAGGGAACCCAAATACAAGACATCCACCTCCCTGAGCTCCCATGGATGGCCACAGCCTGAGGAAGCCACATGCTCAAAACAAAGTCACGTTCTGTAGAGGAAGTGCCTGACCTAGGGGCACTATTCTTGGAAAGCCCAAAGACACCTCCTTCCCTGGGCAAATAGGCCACCCTCACACACAACCCTGCAGGGTGAGATGCCAAACAAGCCCAGAAGCCAGTCAGCCAGCATAGCAGGCTGGCAAAGCCCTACGTCTTCCCTGCCATGCTTGCTCTCCAGGTCCTGGAGGGAAGGGGGCTGGCCTTCTCTGTTCCCTCTCTGCTTTTGGTCTTAGGACTATTTTCATCCCTTTGTGTCACATGGGAACTGTCCCCATGAAACCCTTGGGGGTGGATAGGTGCTCATATGAGAACCAGCTGTTTAAAAATCTCTTACTCATCTAAGCCTACAGCAGGAGGCATGGTCAAGGTGTGTGCAGGGAACCAAGTCAGGCCTCAGAGCCCAGTCTCCTCCCACCCAGGGAGCAAGCTTGCATCACCATCAGGTGTCCATCCGAGTGACACAGAACAAGAGCTGTGCCCAGCAGAGAGCCTGGTACACAGTGGGTGCTTAATAAATGTGTGTATGGCAGCTGAGCCTGTAGGTTTTGGGTCAGAGCTCAGTCTCCCTCTGTAAGGAAGTAGCTATAGTAGAAAGCAGTCCTCTGCCCTATCGCCCCAGCCCAGCCTCCCTTGGGCGCTCAAGCCCATAGCTTCCACCTTTGTGGGATCAAAAGGTGCTGGGCCACAGGGCGGTGGAGGCAGGAGATCCAGCACTGCCTTTTGGGCAAATTCTTTTCTGCCTCTGGGCCTCAGTGTCCTCATTGGTAATGAGGGGGCTGGACAGGCTGCCTTTGGTTTCTTTCAAGTCTAATGAATTCTTATCCTGACCGCCTCCCCATCTATCCCTCTCCTCCATAGCAGATGCCCTGATTTATTACCTTCAATTAACTTCTACTCCTTTCTCCTTCTCCTGCCCACCCCTCCCAAGTGGATGGAAAAGGAATCTGGGAGAAGTCCGAGCCATGCAGAAGGTGTGGCTAGTACCTACCTGCCCAGGCCAGGGACCCTGCAGCACAGGTGTTGCTTAAATCAGAAGAGGGACCCCTGGGTGAGGATTAATAATAATAGTACACAGTAACAGCCGACACGAGGAGCTCTTACTATGTGCCAGATGGTATTCTCTGCATTATGCGTGTAATGGATTAATTTACCGAATTTGCAGCACAACCCCTTTTACGGATTGGAAGAAGCGAGGTTAAGGAATTAGCCCAAGATCACACAGGGAGTAAGTGAAGGAACCCTGGTGTTTGCACCCCTTAGCTCCAAGGGGAGAGGGTCAGCGGGGATCAGCCCCAGAGTACTTGGGACCTTCCTATAATAGGTGCCCAGGGGCAAAATCGTCTGCAGTGGGGCAGGAGAACCAAGTTGGGCAAAGGCGAGGCTGGGGTGGAGGGGGCCAGGCCGGGCCAGGGAGGTGGTGGCCGGGCTGGGCCGCCGTCCTCACGTGCCCCTCTCCCCGCAGACGTGTCCGAGTACAGCTGCCGCGAGCTGCACTCCACCCGCTACGTGACGGACGGGCCGTGCCGCAGCGCCAAGCCGGTCACTGAGCTGCTGTGCTCGGGCCAGTGCGGCCCGGCGCGTCTGCTGCCCAACGCCATCGGCCGCGGCAAGTGGTGGCGCCCGAGCGGGCCGGATTTCCGCTGCATCCCCGACCGCTACCGCGCGCAGCGAGTGCAGCTGCTGTGTCCCGGCCGCGCCGCGCCGCGCGCGCGCAAGGTGCGCCTCGTGGCCTCGTGCAAGTGCAAGCGCCTCCCCCGCTCGCACAACCAGTCCGAGCTCAAGGACTTCGGGCCCGGGGCCGCGCGGCCGCAGAAGGGCCGGAAGCCGCGGCCCCG